AGGCGGACGCCGGGGGGCCACGGCGGTGAAGACCGACGGGGGGAGAGGGGGGGGTGGGGGAAGGGGGGGGACAGGGGCGAAAGAAGGACGTGCACGTACACGAATCCACGCTTGTTTCGAGAGTACGCCTTGCCCGAATGTTCGTGTCCCGCGGCCAGTGCCGCGGATCGAGGGGCCGCGTTCATGTACATAGCTGGGCGCGTACGTCCTTTGTGGGCTCCCTAGAGGAGGGGGTGGCGAGGGCGGCGAGGGTGGAGGGAGGACAGGGGCAGAGGGGGGAAGGGGAATCATAATCGAAACTGGAATGAGAGCGATGTAGCCATTACGTTGATTGTGTAAAGCTCGATTCGTACGGCTGTACGTATATCAGTAATACAGATCAATCCACTGTGTGGCCGTAAGAGAAGAGCCTACAGCATAGGGTCTGTGGCGCACGCAGAGGCCAGAGAAATATCTGCAAACCTATACACCTGAAGCCGAGTGAATAGAACATTTGGACGAGAACCTCATATCAAGCCCCTCAATCGACCTACAGGTTTGGCCACTGCTTGGATTGGATTCTACACTGCAGATGTTTCTGAGACGCGCATGTGTGACTTAAGCCATATATTACTTGACGAACCGTGTGCCGCTGACATCATCCAATGTTGAAGCCCACACTAGATAGACAGGTTTGGGCATTGACTTGACTGCACTGGACACTTTCCTGCCATTTTGTGATGTGGCTCAGCAATCAGACGATTCTGAAATGCAGTCCTGAATTGTCACGCTATGTTGGCCGACTCAAGGCCTACAATATGCAGGGCAATATGCATGCTTTGTAACATGGGACTGCCTGGGAACTGTCTGGGAGTGCGACTGGGCGCGTTCCACAACGAGAGGGCAAAAAGGCACACGGAACAAACTTATCTGTCTTTGTACACCGTCGCAGGCGTTCGTGATCTCGTTCACACGGGTCGACCAGCTTGGCGTCACGTTGGGAAGCGTCTACGTCGAGGACCCATGTGGTCCAGTAGTTGGATTCGTAATTTGACTCGAGCTGGAACCGCTTGCCGTTAGGAAGTCATTTACCCTTCCCTGCCCCCTCCCCCGAGCGTAGACCTTTAGCGCGCCAACTGAGCCTACATGCCTCTCGTTCTCGCAGGCCCTTAGCAAATTCGAACGGAGGAACCCAATTCCACGTGGATGGCCCTCAAGACCTCGGTGAGGTGCCGCGTGTCCTTCTCGACACCTTGGATCGCCTTCGCCCGTAAGTTGTTGGGCGGGATGTTTATGGCCTCGCCAATGTCGAGGAAATTGGGACCTGCAGGAAAGCGACCGAATGACTTCTCCTGATGACCCTATCCTCAGCCACAAAGGGCCGTGAGTGAGGTCGAGAAAGCGTCTTGCGTATAGCGTCTGCACAGCTGGAGAATGTGGCCGTGCACGTCCACGGACGTATTGTGTCCTTAAGTTTTACCGTAACCCACGTAGTGTTGTTTTGCGTCCCCAAGTACTCAAACTTATCATTGATCCACAGCTCTGTAGTTGTGTGGCTGTTGGTGATAACCAGTGCCACGATAGTTTGGTGGCCCGATTCTGATTGCGTGCACCTACATGGAGGCAGATGTTGGTCATCTGTGGCTGTTGCTGGGCTTGGGCCCGGTTGAACTTGAACATCGGCATGAGAAATAACAATGGAGAGCAATTCGCCAGACACGTGCACCGCGGGACCCTTGACAGTCTCCGTGTTCACCACGATGTATTGTTCATCCTAGGAGTTGGCGAGGAGCTTACCGCATATTCGTGTATATGGACCATGTGCCTGTGACATTGTCGAGTTCAATAGGTACGACGACATTGGTACCAAGAGGGCGTACTGCGAGGCCACATGACATGACCTCCTCCTCGTAAGTATTATTCGCTCAGCTACATTAGATGCCGTAGTTCAGCGCGTCGACCTTGTCAGTTGATCGAGATCTCGCATATTACATCCAGCCAGGTTATGATGTCGATGTCGTTGTCGTTATCTGGGGCCCTTATCAACCGCTTGCGGCTGGTCGAGGCAGCGTCCAGGCTGTCGTCGTCGTCATCATCATCATCATCAGCATCAGCATCATCATCATCATGCAGCGACTTGTCGGCATTTGTGGCAACACCGCGGCCGTATTCCCTTGCTCAAGTTCTAAAGGAACGCAAGCATTCATTCTTTGCGCGGGTCAACGCCGACCTCACAGTGCCCTCTCCGCTGCCATCACCGTACGCGGCAGCGCGACGCCCTCCTCCGATCGCGTCTGCTCTCCTGCGCTGGCCTGCCCAGCGGTGGAGTGCCGCTGCTCGACTGGCGGGGCTCGCTGGCTTCTGCCCAGCCGTCAGGCTGGTCAATCGAGTTCGTGGTCGTGCTCGTGGTGGGTGGCTTCGCGTACGGCAGCGTCGTTGGCGGCTACTGGTTCAAGAGCTCGCTGACGGCCCCCGTGGCGCAGCCTGCACCCGCTCCAGCATCGCTTCAGGAGGCCGCGGACACTCCCGACCTCGCGAGCGCGGCGACTACCCAGGCGAGGAAGTTCCGCCTTTAGGCGGAATGGCTGCTCGCACCGCTGGACAGTTCCACTACTTCTGGTACAACGTCGGGGCGGCCGCTCTCCTCCACGAGAGACTCACTCTGCTGCCTGGGTACATCCTTACCCCTGACGATGAGGTTTATGCTGAGAGCGACGCGGCAGGTGGTGACTTGAGAGCTGTGCGTGACTCGGCGGGCCAGGGCGTCGCGATTGTAGGCGTCGCCGCCAACAAGCCCGACAAGTTCTGGCGGCTGCCGTCGGCAGCCGTCGCCTGGGCTGCTGCGCGGAGCTGCGTCGCCCAGGGCCATGGGCCTCTGGCGCCTGCGCCCTTCATCCTCGAGCTCAGCGCCGACAACGTGTTGGGCGTCTCGAAGGGGGTCCTGGCCGTGTTCGACCCGCTCGGAGCGGCTCCCGCCGCCGCAGCGCCTGGCGCCCCGGCCTTGGCTGGCGCGGCCGCGCCCCCCGCGGGCGCCCCTGGGCCGCCTGCCGCGTCTGCCGCTACGCCTGTGAGCGGGCTGGGCGCGCTGGGCGCGGCGCTCGGTGCGGGGGGGGCCGCCCTGCCTGCCGCCGCTGGCCCTCCGGGCGTCGGCGCCGCCGCCGCGGCCCCCGCGACCTCAGGCGCCGCAGGGTCTGATCCCCGCGTGCTGGCCACCGACCTCGACGCGCGGGGGGCGCGGGACATGCTTGCCAGGGACGCTGTCAAGCGCCAGACCGAGACCCCCCGCGCCGACCGGCCCGCGAAGGGCCTGACGACCACGATGCGGGTGCTCCACTTCATGCTCCCCATGGCGGACGGGGCGACGTCGTGGCTCAACCGCTGGGTGGCCATGAAGCAGGCCTCAGAGACGGACGACACCGACAGGCTGTACGAGACGCTGTGCCGTGTCGTCGAGACCTTGCGCTGCTACGACCAGCTGATCATCTGCGGGCTGTCTTCCTACGAGTTCCTATCGCGGCAGCTGCTGATGGTGGAGGGGCGCTTCTTTGAGGAGCGGGCGCGCAGGACTCACCCTGGGCCCAAGCCTAAGGGCCAGGCCAAGGACGGCGCCGCGGCCGCGGCCGCCGACGTTTCCTCCGAGATTGGCCACTTCCTCGGCACTGGAGAGACGCTGGGCAATTTCTGCATTCTCCCACCCTTAATGGATTGGTTTGCTGAGCAGATGAAGAGTGAGGCTACCGTTGCGAAGGAGCGCCGCAAGGCTCGCGAGGAGCGGGCCTTGCGGCAGCCATGACGTTCCCGAAGGGCGCTGGTCAGGGGGGGCCTCACGACGCGCCGCCTGCTCGTGAGCCTGGCCAGCTTGGCCCCGAGCCCGTCGAGGCTTCACCTGGCCTGGAGTTGCCCGCGCGAGGTGACCATCGCCAGCGAGACGTTTTTTCCGCTTCCTCTTCTTCCAGTGGATGGGCGTCGCCATCTTCCGCTTGGTCGCGGGGCTCGTCTGCGCGCCGCCAATGGCGCGGGCTGGAGAGAGTGGTGCAACGAGGGGTTGTCTGCTCTCAACTGGCTCCACTGCGGCAAGGGCGAGCCTTCCATGCCTGACGAAGGGGGGCCACCGCCCGCGGCCCAGGCAGCCGCTGTGGACTACATCGCGGGGCTGCACCGCGACTTCGAGCTGCCCGCCGCCTACTCGGAGAGAGGCCGCGATTGCGAAGCATCCCTCGTAGAGATGCTCGCACAGGCACCTGGCTACGCTGGTGACAGCGGTCGAGTGCGCCCCTACAGCATGCCGCTTGTGGCCTGGCCCGAGTCGACGAAGGCAGTCTCCACCTGCGGCGTCGTCTCCGAGGCCGACTCCATCGTGCTGCAGGATTGGAGGCAGAGTATGCTGAATCCCGAGTCGGTGGCGGCGGAGCTGCGCGATTCGCTGGGGGTTATCTGCCCTTATGTCGATCCTGAGCTGCGCTTTAAGCCTAAGTCATACGCTGAGTTTTTGAAGCAGCTGGAGGCCCACGGCATGATCTCCTGGCGGGTCTCCAGCGAACAGGCATGCTTCTCTACTGGTCTCTTCTTCGTGCAAGAATCAAACGGCAAGCTGAGGTTGGTGTTCGACACCAGGCTGGCCAATTGCAGTTTCTCCTGCCCACCAGCCACTCGTCTCCCCACGCCCAGCGCGCGGGCCAGCCTTGACTGCGACGACAGTTTTCATTTCGCGCAGGGCGACATTCAGTGTGCTTTTTATCATTTACGTCTGCCAGCTGGCATGGAGTCGCTGTTCTCTCTGCCTCCGATAAACCACAGATTCGTCAGCCTCAAGTCGGTCAACGGGGTTCGTCTTGGCATCAACGACTGCGTCCAGCCTCTTGTCACGGTCGTTCCCATGGGATGGAGTTGGGCCCTTCACTTGCGCCAGGGTGCGCTGACGAGAGCCCTGTCGGATGTCGGGTTCGGCCGCGACGATATGATTCTGGATGGGGGCTGCCCGCGGCCCTTGGTCGCTGAGAAGGACGCGGTGCGTGCAGGAT